TCGACCAGCCGATCATCCCCCCGGACATCCGGTAGTTTGATGACCATTGGAGTGGCTGATATCAGATGGAGGAATTCGTCTTTTTTTTACTCAAATTTGGTGAAATTTCTGATGAACCGTTGGAGATGCTCTTACTTGTTGGGCCATTGGGTCCATTTTTGGGCCAAATTTTGATGATTCGAATCGTTCACATTTTTAAATTTGTTGAGTATATCGTATCTGTAAAAAATCAAGTTGATTGGATATCAAAAAACATGTGTTCGGAAAACTGTTTATTAAATTTGTTTAAAAAATGGCTTTTAGTTCGATATCGGAAAACGTAATTTCTGATATCCGATCAACTTGATTTTTTACAGGTATGATATACTCAACAAGTCTTAAAATGTGAACGGTTCTGATCATCAAAATTGGGCCCAAAAGTGAGCCCAATGGCCCAGCAAGTAAGAAGTCAAGGAGAGGATCATGATTCATAATATATACATACAAATATATAAACATAGGAATAATTTGTTTAACAAATATACGTATATTTATATACACACACACATTAAAATTCAAATAGGAACTTGTTTGGAATTCTAGCAAAGAATAAAAACCCAATTTAAGCAAATCAATAACGACAATAAGAAAAAGGGAACAACTGAACAAGATGAATGACCAACACAGAACAACCGAGAAATCATCCAAGACTCACCAACCCATCATAGCAGCAATGAAGACAACGGAAAATATATATATATATATATATATATATATGTTGAAAAAAATAGTTATTGAAGTGATCAATCCACAGATTCAAACACCCAAGCCCTCGATTCTTGCAAAATTGAGCTTCAATATTATTATTTCATCACATCCATAAGTACATCAAGCTTCTATCTTGCTTGAATGTGCGCCTCTAACCAAAACTCATAAATAAATTGCACAAATCAAGCTTCAATCTTCAACAACATGAGTAGATGTAGGTTTGTAATTCATGAAGAGATGTGTATCTCATTTCCAATGAAGATTACGAGGCTACACAGTGAACCTATGGACTAAGGTTTTTTTTTCTTGTAGTCGAGAGTGCATAACATTTGTTCAAGAAGTATAACCCTTATTCCTCTCACTTTCTCCCTCTATATTTTTCCAGACCTGGCGATAGCAATAGTGATAGACGAACAAGGGCGACGAGGAGAACAGGGGATAGAAGGCGGTGAAGGAGAGGTCGCCATTGAAAGAAGAGGGTTGAGGAGAATAATTGTCGGTGGACTTTGGGATCGCCAAAGGCAGTTGTATTTGTGGTGGCTGAAGAGATTATGGGTAGAAGAGAGGAAGTGAGAGGAAAGAGATAGAGAGAGAAAGAGAGAGAGGGAGCAAAGCATGGTGAGGTAAGTATGAGAGATTTAGGAATTAAAGGGTATTTTTTGTCTTTTTGTTCAAAATTGATGGATTAGGGGAATCTTAATATTATAAATCAAAGTATGAGAGGTTTCTATAATTATTGAAATCATAGAAGAAATCCCTGTATTTGTCAGAATTCTCAGGGGAGGTTTTTATAATTTACCCAAATATATATTTTAAAAATAAATCACAAAATTTAAATAATGAAAAAAATAGTCTCTCTATTCCCATTGTGGATTAAATGTTTGATGAATTGTTAAAATGGTGGAAGGAGCACACCTAATAGTCTTTCTATTCCCATTATTTTTGTACTTTAACGAATCAAATACAAAATGATTCCTCTAATAATCTTTCTATTCAATTTCCTATTTAAGGGAGTGAACTTTGACTCCCTACATTTAGGAATACTTTAATAACTCTTTATAATTAAAAAATTATTCTCTTTTTCTCATCCCTCGTATTTTTCTTAAATGGTGGAGAAGAGAGAAGAAAGTTTGGAAAAGTATTTTTAATAAAGAAAAAATATTTTTACAATATATAGCAAAAAAATTAAAAGTATTGTTCAAAATGATAGTTGAAAAGGTGATATCCTAAAATAAGAAAGACACTTTTTAATTAAAATTATAAAAAATAAATAATAAAAAAATAGATGGTTAGAGATGCCCTGAAATGGTGATTAGTAATGGTAAATGACCAAAAGTGATATTTCATGGTAAGCATGGTCGAAAGTGATGGCAGATAATGATGACCAGTGGTAGGTGGTTGATAAAAGAGTGAAAATGAAATAAAATGTTATTTTGAAAATAAATAAAATAGTTAATTATATTTTACCCCATAATTATTATTAAATTTTGCTTTCCCGTTTGTTTTTAAATTATTTTATAAAATGATGAATAAAATAATTATTTCACCTCTAACTTCATATGATTGGATTTGAATACCACATTTCCCATGAAATTGCCAATTCCCTCACTAAAGAATATTTCTAATCCCATGGTTATTCGTCCAAACAAGCATAATTCTCATGATCCTACCTCACTACCAATCCGATCTCATCATCTATCACTCAAAATAAACAAGGCTTTACATCTCTAAATTATCAAAAATTATAAATAAAAAAGGGCCCTTTTATAAGGGGTAAAAATGAAACAATCTTAATAGTTGAAAGATAAGGTAATATTCAATAATAGTTAAGGAGGTAAAATGTAATTAATTAACCTAAATAAAAATATCAAAATTTTAAGAGCTTGTTTGGTAATATTTTTATTTTAAAAAGATTGATAAACCGTAAATAAAAATTTATTTGATTTCTATTTTCATTTTTAAAAAGTTGTAAATGATTTATAAAATTTAAAAGTTGGTTCCACTTGTTTAATTTTATTTTTTATTTTAATTTCATTTCTTCATCTTTTGCTCACCATTTTGGACTATCACCAATTACTCATCACTATAACCAGCCACCATTATCGGTGACTTCCTCCGTCAACCACCTTTGACCACCCTCTCTTATCGCCTCCTACCACCTCCCATTAGCAATAATCACCTTTAACTATCATTTTCGACCATCAAAAATTATTTTTGACCATCACTTCTTGTGATTAGGAACTACCTCTAACCACCACCACCAACCACCTCTAATCAATGGCCACCACCTTCGGCAATTGACAACTAGCTCCAAACACCATGTCCAACTATCGATACCACTTCTCACAACCTCTCTTTTCACTTATTTTCAAAAAAGAAATTAAAAATGCTTGTATACCAAACATTGTTATTATTTTCTTTTTTATCCAATATAAACATAAATATGTTTAATGTTCTATAAACTAAAAATAGTAAATTGTAATCTGGTAGAATTTTTATATCCCTAGCATTGCTCTAATTTATTTATTTATTCTAATCACAAAGCAATTTGTTTTTAATGTTCAAAAACATAAAATGAAAATGATTCCAAAAATTGTGGATCATAATTAGGGATGGTCATTTTAATTCGATCTGCGGGGCTCACCCATATCCTCCCGAATGGAACAGATTTTACCTAACTCGACACTTATGTGGGGCGGGAGTGAATTATATTTTGATCACCTGTAATAGGGGTGGGACGGGGGTATCGCCTCCCCCGATCCAAAATTAATAATATATATAAATAAACAATATATATGTATATATATAATATAATTAGATATAAGAAATGAAAACTAAAAGAATGTGATTTTGTTTAAATATAAATAAATAATAATCCTAAAAATCTCACCGTTTATATATATATATATATGAAAATAATAAAATTTATTTAGTGTGCTAAGAATTTAAATGATTCTTAATTTTTTTGTTTATTTGAAATATGATTGGGTATCCGTAGAGGTGGAGATGGAGTTAAAAAATATTAGGAGCAGAGAATAACAAATCCGTCCCAAACCCACCCGTGATCACCCCAAATCATAATCACTCTACTTAATAATAATCAATAACACTTCGGATCAAAATCAAGGCCACTTAGGCATATTGGCGGAATTTAAAACTTCCCCCAAACAATACCAAAAAAAAATAAAAAAAACAATTTAAAAGACTCTTCAATTCCTTCCTCATGTCAGGTGACATTTTCCGGGAAAATCTCAAAGAAAGGGAAGCAAAAAAGAAACGGTTTTTTTCACCCACCAATCTCGCTGATCACTGTACGGAACAAGTGATTCTCTGATCTCCCCATTAATAATACCTTTATTACTCTGTCTTTGTTTTCCTACGTAAGTTCTTCATATCTTTTTGTTTTACAATACTTTATACGTATGTAATAATCGTGATGTATTGCTTAAGATTACTATTACTGATCTCCTAGAATCTCAAAAAATTGTTTCTTTTTTCTGGGTTTCGATGTGATTGGAGACTAAAGAAACGGGTTTGCAATTGTAATCCATACAATGTATATACATGGCATGTATTTGTTTTTACCAGGAGGGCCCTAGGTTGTTTGGTTGATGAGAATCTGTAGGAAAACGATAGAAACTAAAAGCGAGATTAAATTTTGAAAGTTCTTAATCTATGATTTGTAAATACCAAACTGTTTTTCATGTTTTTGGAAACAAAAGCAATGAAAAATTCAAAGACAACCATTGTTTTCCGTATCTTTTTCTTCTTGTGTGAAAACAGTTTTTGAAAATTTAGAAAACAACTTGAAAATGTTTCCTTAAAAAAATTTCAGAATTTTTTTTCCTAAAAACTATTCGTCAAACTGATTTTTAGCCTCACTTTCCTCTGTTTTTTTTCTGTTTTTCGTGCTTTTGGAAACAAAAATGAAATAAAATTTCGGAGACAAACCATTGTTTCCATTTCCTTTTCTTCTTTGTCTGAAACAGTTTTCAAAAAGTTTGAAAACAACTTGAAAGTGCTTCCTAAAAAAATTTGTTTTTGAGAAAAGTTTGCTAAAAAACAATTTTAGAAAACAATTTGTCAAACAAGTTCTCTGTCATTATGCCAATAATTTGCTTCCTTGAATAGAATTCAGACTTCAAATATAAAACCTATCACTAGATTTTGCTTGCTTTCTACGGTATCATTGCATTTCAATAACTAGTTTTTTCCTATTGGTCTTATTGGCGAAAAGCATCAATTGGTGCAAGATGAGTCAACAGAATAAGCAGGCAAGCACTTCCACGCCAGCAGACCCTCCATTGAAGCCTAAACATGGTCGTCCACGCAACGATGAAAACCTTGTCCACATGGAGAAACCAGCAGAGTCACCTCAACCTGCTCCATCTGATGACTTAAGAACTAATCAACACATTGAATTTGATCCGAGTGATGATATAGACAATGACATGGTCGGCCAGGTGGTTTCTGGTGTCATAGAGGGCTCTTTTGATGCCGGGTATTTCCTTTCTGTACGGACTGGCAACACGGGAACTCTTCTCCGGGGCATGGTGTTTCAGCCGGGGCTATTCACTCTCATTACTGCTGCAAATGATGTTGCTCCACAAGCTAAGATGTACCAAAGAAGAGAATTTCCCATCCCGGTCCTCAATTTGCAGAGTCAGGTTGACGGTTCTACTTCTATCCCACAACCAGAAAGGAACAATGAGCACCCTGTCCGGTTAGAGAACCGGGCACCTACCATTCCAGCCCTAGTTTTACCTTCCGAGCTCCAATCAGGTTTCCCATCTACAATTGCTAGTCCTAATGCACGAGGCTCCCACGACTACGGGGTATGGGAAGGGTTGGGCATATCCAGCCTGACCCTTGCATCCAAAGAGGCTGCTTATGTGGCAAAAAAATGAGTCAAATGCTTTTATGGGAGGAAAAACAGTACCAAAGGAAAATTTTGAATTTGGGCTTGAGAAACAATCTACCCTTGATTCAATACCTCCAACAGATAAAAAGGGTAGTCCTAGTGCACGAGACTCCAGTTATTGTGGGGTTTGGGGAGAGTCAAATGTATGTAGTGTTACCCCTACATACAAAGAGCTGTTTCTGTGACAAAAAAAAAGTCGGAACCTTTTATGAAAGAAAAAATTGTGTCAGCACAGAATTTTGAATTTGGGCTCAAGAAACAATCTTCCACTCATGACAGTCCTGATCCACAAGACTCTAGTTACTGTGGGATCTGGGGAGGGTCAAAAAATCAGTCATCCACTTTTATGGGAGAGAAAACCATGCCAGAGCAAAATTTTGAATTTGGGCTCAAGAAACAATCCACCCCTCAGACCTATGCCTTCCTAAAGATTGATCCAAGAAAAGACTTGCCACAACAACTTTCTGAGTTTGGGCTTGAGAACCAATCTGCCTCTTGGTTGCAGCCAGTTGCTTCATTTCCCAGTGTTAACCAATCTGCCTTTGGTAAGATACCGATGACTGATCACTTGTGCGCTTCCTTGGGACCAAAAAATGTGCCAAATCACAACTCCGAGTTTGGACTTGAGAACCAACTTGTAGTCACTACCCAATCTGCCTCGGTTATGACACCTCTGACTGATTCCATGGGAGGGTTACAAGACGCACCAGAACAAAATTATGGGCCTGCACTTGACAACCAATTGATACCACAACAAAATTCCAAGTTTGGATTTGAGAATGTATCTACGAAACAGGATGAGATAATGCAGGATCTTGAAGATTCAACTCTGCTAGAAAGGCGTAACATTGATGGAGAGGGAACGAAAGATGTGAATGTGGTACTAGAAATAGGATCTCAACAGAGTGTTGATATTTGTCATGGTGAGGAAAACATGGATCAGGTGCCTCAAGTTCAACACCGGGCTGTAGATTTTGGGCTCGAGTCAAGTGAGTTGGCTCATGATGAGCTAAAGAGTGGAAATCCCGAGCTTCAACAAACTCCAGCTGGTGCTAAAACTGATACACCACAGATTATGCGGTCAGAGTCGATCAAAGATTCAGGGAGAGATGAGATTACCCAAAATTGAAAACCGGTAATTGATGCTGCTGGTTAATCAACTAGTAACATTTGGCGAGAAAAGGTGCTGCTTTTGAACCTGAGGTTGCAGCCGGAGGAATTCTATGCCCTGGAAAAGGGTAGTTCTTCTGTTCTAGCCAATGATGTGGATTTTGTTCTTGAAGAATTCCACCACCTACCAGGAATCACAAGAAGAAAAGAAAAGAAAAGAATGAGAAAAAGAAAAGAATTTGCAGCTAAAGATAGATAAAGACTTCAGGAAAAACAAGTACGACTGATATTCTGAACTTTTAGACTTAACTTTCATGTTTCTCTTATTGTTGTTTCAATCATTCAAGTTCTTACTGTTTTCTAGTTGTTCACAATGTGTTTGGACAAGTTTCATTCGTTGCTTCATTTTTTTAGCATAATATACTTTATCATAATCCAATTTTTCTTGAATGTTTGATTGAGTTTGTATTAACAGCAGCTTATGGCCTTGGATGAAAGTTGAATGGAAAACAAAGTATGCATGTTGCCAACTCCAGCTAATGAGAATAGGTTTTTGTTAAGTTGAATTTAGTTGAGTTTATATTTACAAAAATTTTGAAAACTAGAAATGAATGTCTATTTTCATTTTCAAAAAAATTGTAAATAGTTAACAAATTTTACTAAATTCTTATAATTCAAAAAAAAAAAAAAAAAACTTACTTATTTGAAAGATAAGTTTTTATTCCCTTCTCTCTCTCCCATGGCTGTTATCACCTATTGCTCATTACCACCACTAGCGACCACCTTTAGCTATCACCACTAACAACCTCCTCCAGTCACCATTTCCTACAGTCAACAAATACCTCTGGCTTCCACCAACCACATCTGGCCATCATGTTGACAGCCACCTCTTGTCACCATTTTCGATCCTCAATAATTCAGCCACCACCGCCCACTAACAACCAATGTTGATCACTCCTCACTTGTTTTTTTAAACATTTTTAAAATACATGAGCCTAATATGTTTTTTATTTTTGTACGGGGAGGAAATAATTCTCCTCGTATAATCCTGTTGACCAAGTCCACGCTCCTCCGTACGACGTCGCTTTGTCACCTGAAAACACAAACGTGAGCTGGCCGGCGGGTGTGTGCCGGAAACCTCTCCGATGCCTAAGTCAGAAAACTTGACAAATAGACAAAGCTCTAAGTTCTCAGAAAGATTGTGTTCAATTACCTCCTCCAAGGTGATGCTTGTGAGCTTTTATAAGTTTCATATGGCACAATCCTAGTAGGACTTGTATTTCTCTATGCAGAGTCCTCCTAGGATTCATTCTCCTAAGGATAATGCTTATCCTTTTACACCCTTCCCCACTGCTTAAACCAAGTGGGATGGTTTTCTCTTCGGCCGAGCTATCCCATGACCGAAATAGCATTGGCTATGCCGAACCGTAGAATAGGCCATACTAACCGTAGTTCGGTTCTTCTTGCCACACAATATATTGGTTCTCCTATACACGAACCGTGGTGCATTTGAACCGCCCTACCAAGTAATAACATTCCGACTGATCTCGACCGGAACAACTTATAACCGGACTATTTTGGAGATCGGTTTAACTAGAAGCCACCCCGTACCGGAGTAGCTTTACATCCCTGAGCCGAAGTAACATTTACTTCTCCCAGCCGGAGTAACATTGCTCTCCTGGGCCGGAGTAACCATTACGGCCTTTTTTACTTAGTCCTTCGCGTTTTGGGCCTCAAAGCCCAACTCGCAGCTCGGCCCAATTTTTCCCAAAAATTACCCTCTCAATATATATATATATATATGATTGCAAAGCACTAGCTTAGGAAAAATTAGAAAAATATGCAAGGTGATTAGTCTTATCCTTTCATAATGTATCTGTGCTATGTCATTCAACACTCATGAAACCACAATTATATCACTACTTGTAAAAGGAAATAGGAAGATCAACTTTCGAGCAATTTCTCAATGACAAGTTGTACAAAAGGCATGAGACCTATAAATTCTTTATAAGCACAACAATTTACATATTCTTGGGATTGCCAACTTCCACACAACATAAAGTTTGTCCCACCTTATATCTAGAAACTGAAAATAGGCATACCTCCATGACTTGAAGAGCAACAAAGGAACGCAGACACCCCAAAAACCCATTACAGATCCTTATGCCATACATAGATGAGAGGGTAATTTTTGGGAAAAAATTGGGCCGAGCTGCAAGTTGAGCTTTGAGGCCCAAAACGCGAAGGACTAAGTAAAAAGGCCGTAATGGATACTTCGGCCTAGGGGGCAAGGTTACTCCGGTCTTGAGGAGACAAAGTTATTTCGGCCCAAGGAGGTGAGGTTACTCCGGCTCATGAAGAGATAGATGCTTTGGTCCAAGGAGAAGTAAAGCTACTCCGGTCCGTAGGCAACTCGGAATTAGGCCGGTCTCAGAGTTAGTCCGGCCGCAGTATGTTCTGGGAAGGCCGGT